GAATCCATTTGAGAGAGAAGTTGTATTCTTTGGGAAAAGTGGTTGGCTTCAACCTTCCCACTTTTACTCCAGGTCCTTTGCCTGATATTAAGGTTTGTTATTGATAAACTTGCACAACTCAACACAAGAGTGGTAACAAACTAGCATGCTGTCCAGTCTTCCTTAAAAAAACCAAACAGATAAATAGATATTTCTTTTTGAAAAAAGAGCAAAGATAGGTTTTTTCCACTGCAAACATCACTCTGCAAAGAACTGTAAATATAAGATTCCTAGTACACCTGTCATCTTAATTTTCTTTAATCAATTATGGCAGACTGGTTTAAATTTTCTTATTTTCATTATTTTTTCATGATTAGAATATTAACCAGAATCACAGGCATCAATTCAGTTTCTATCATCTGACATAGCCATTTTCTCTAGTTTTCCCCTGACTTTTTATTTTGTTTCCAGGTGGTGAGTATTCATTTGAGGAGAGTTGATGACGCCTACCCTATGGCCTGCAGTTCATATTAGGTTCAGTCAAGTTGAAAACATAACAGTAATTGACTAAAATGAGACCTGACCTAAAATCAAGAATCAGTGCAGAGGATCCAGCAGGTTTTATTCCCCAAGCCAACATTTGCAGTGTCCACTCCGTGAACAGAAATCTGTATACGGAGGAAGCAGACAGGGAGAAAGTTGCCCTCAGAGCTGCCTTCGAAACAGAAAGAACACAGGTAAACACTAATTAAGAGAGGGGAGCATTAAATGGCAGAAAAAGAAAAATATCTTTAATGCAGACCACGGACACATATGAAACACTGTTACATTGGTGTCATGGTTCTTGGGTCCTCTCCCCAGAGTAAGGTAGATGCTAGGAGGTACAGCTTATTGTTGTAAAATAATACTGGATCATAGCTATCACTGTGTTAAATGTTGTTATCCTCTTCTGTAGTAAAACCTTGGGTAATATGTTAAAGTGTAAACTTAAGTAGATATTTCTAAATTTAAGGGAAAAGCACTTATTATATAATTGTATAAAGTCATTGTTTGGAATGGAGTAGTTTTTGAACACATCATTCAAAATAGTTCTACAAATGTCTGCATTTCGTTAGCAAAATACCATCTGATGGGCTTCAATCACCAAGATTAAAAGAGATGATAACTGCCATGATGACTTTGTTGAAATCTATTAATTTTAGTAAGTGGGGACAATTTGGGAAGTGTTATTTTGCAGTTAACATGTCCATTATAATATGTGCAAGCACACAGCCTGCACTTTCAATGTGAAAAATGGAAGGAAGGTGCCACATTCTATGCATGGTGTCCTGACACGGAGGAGAGGGCAGGTGAGAGAGCCACCTGGACGGGGAAGTCTGTTTCCAGTCTCACTCTGCAAACCCGACAGAGTACACCAAGGGTGCCACTGGCAGTACATGCACACCTGCGCAGCCAGTGCTCACCATGTGCGCATGTACAGATCCAGACCTTTCCTTGAAAGCACTTATAGCCAGGCTGCACTTCATGGGAAACATGGGTAAAAACTGAAATCCAGACAGAAAGTGGAGAGTCACGAAGCGTCCTTGTTGAGAAAGAGGAATAAGGAAACCCAAACAAGGATGGGCCAAGCCTGTAAAATTATTCTAATCATTAATTCTATTTTATGAAGACTCCTTCAGCCTATGAGAAGGCACTATGTCTTTTTTAGAACAGAAGAATATCTTATCAAAATGCAAAGGAAAGAAATAGACCATAGAACAACAGCTTGGATATCATAGTCACCTTTTCTGTATATACACACACAAACACACACACACACACACACACACACAAAGTGTTATGCAATCATTCCCTTATTAAAACTGTTTAAAGAATACCTGCCAAACCATGTTCTGGGCACTAAAGAGACAGAAAGCGGACAAGGCCATACAAACATAGACATGCTCAGGCACAAACCAGGAATTGCTATACCGGAAGACACTGAAAGACCCACAGGTAACTCTAACCCCCTCGATTATTGGCCTCAGTTAACATAAATGAGAAACTCAAATTACCCAAGATCATTTACAGCATGAAGACTTCATTGCTGACACAGAGGGATACCCTGGAACTGTTATTTACAAAGTACACAGTGAAGGACCTGTTCAGATGTCATTTATTTACTTATATTAAAAGTTTCTTTTCTGATAACTTTATTCATAAAAACAAACCACAAGAAAACAAAATTACAAAAGCGTGCTAAATTCAAACCAATTTTTTCTTATTGACATAAAATTCATCAACATAAAATGCCTCTATGAAATTGTGCTAAGACTTTCTGAAAGATCGGTTTCAATTTCTATGCTTTGCATGTCAGAGAGCAGTAAGAGTTTGCAAATGACACTGTCCTGTGGATCAAATGCCAGGGTAGATGGATTTACCTTCTAATGTATGATGAAGTTTGAGCAAAGAGGAAATGTAGGCAGAATTGTACTTTGTAGAGGTAGATTCCAAACTCATTTGGCTCTGTATCAAAAGAAGATTGACTTGTGGGTCAATGTAAGTCTAAAAACAAGGTAGTAGAAAAGTTTAATTTTAATTGCCGGCAATAAAGCAGAAGAGTTCCTGGCATTTAAGAAGTGCTTAATAAAAATGTGCTGCATGAATGAGGAAGTGCAGGCAACGAGAGAGGCAGCCTATGTTGAGAAGAACTCCAAGCTGGAATAAGGCTAACAAAGAAGAATGTCAGGAGGGACTGAGATCCCCAAACACATACGGGCAAAGTGAGCAAAGACACTGATGCCATCAGAGCAAATAAAAATGCAAAAATTGGGAATTGTAAGAATTAACTAAATGAAATGAAGATTCACTGCTTCTAGGAAAAGAGTAAACTGCACAGTCCTCAAACCATATCAAAAAGAAAAGACTTCTGCCTCTTCCTTGATGGCAAGCTTAATAGTGAGAAGAAGCTGCCCAGTTTTATCAATAAAAGCAGTGCCCAGAACACCACCAAAAAGTGAGAAGCAAGAATACTCACTCAGTTCAGACTGCACCATTTTACAAAAGGTTCCGAAAAGTTAGGGGATATTAAGACACGCTGAGAGTGTCAAAGCATACAAGGCTGGATTAGGTCATTTCTTATTCTGCAATGAGATGGTTCTGCTTCCTGCTCCACAGTGAGTCATGGCTGACGCTGTCTATGGGGATGCCTGCTTGCCATTCTAACGAAAAAGCTCATCATTGCATAATGGACCATCATAATGATACTCCGTACCATCTGTGGGATATGTATAGGAAGAGACAACGACCTGAGATGCCAGACTGCTTCTTATAGAGACGTTTTCACTTTCCAGGAGTGTATGCTGCTGCAAAATGATAGCTGAGTCCTTCCATAGGTATTGCTCTCACCCCAAACAGTCATGTCACCTGAGGTATATGTTCCTTCCTGGGGACCACTAAAATCAGATGACTATTCCTAGCAAGGTAGAAGAGGTGCATCTGCATTGTCTCAGTTCACTGTGCCCCAGGATCCCAGCTCTACAGAACCCTGTTAAGATGGGCACAAGTCACTGTTGCAGCTGCACCTCAGCACAGCTTCTCCCTGTGTCCTTGTCTGACCCCTCACTCATCACTATTTATTATTCTGCAAAAGCTCTCCATTTCAGAATCTGATTCACAGGGACATAATCAATGATGCCTACTCAAAGCCAAGAGCTTGCTGACCACTGTTAATGCATTTTTTTTCCGTATATGTCAATATGCAGATGTTGTCTAGGTGCAGATTTGACTATGTGCATCTGAGAGATGAAAAGAATGAGATTCAGATATCATAGGAAACTAATGTCAGGGCAAGAATTCAAAACGGAGCCAGCTCTAACCATAGCCTGCATGACTCTGTCTCTAGGATTTTCTTTGGAGTCCTTCGTGAATTGCAAAGAATTTTTATATTACAAATTAACTTTATAAACTAGAAAAACAGACAGAAATCTTTATTAGTAGTCATGGAATTGTAGTTCCTTGTGAAACATTATCTTTAACCTTTTTTCCTTGATTTAATTGGTCCTCCATTAAAGGTACCCAATAGTGACTGGATTTCTCTGCAGGATGTGAGCACCCACGAAGTAGAGATTTTGAAGCTCAGTAGTGAGCAGGGTCCATTCCTCAAAGACAGAGCATTGCCATGGAAAGAGAGTGGATCACATCCCATCTGACTGGGATTCTTCTCCAACAAAAGGACTCCCTGCCATGTTGCTTGAACTCTATGTGTCTCAGTTTTTAAGGAAAATAATAAATAAATAAAATCAACTTCTTGGTGCTATTGTAGGTACTAAGTGATATAAGACTTAATATTTTGTTAAAGGAGTTCAGTGCATGTTATTTTTCATTGTTGATGCAAATTTATAAAGAAAATAAGATTCATGATCATCCATGACATTTTCTGCTGTAAATAAAAGTTAAAATGCAGAGGTATGTTGTGTTGATGTTTAGAAATGTCCTCACAAGTTTAATTCAATCAAAACCAGGATAAAGCAGAAGAGCTCAGACTGTGGTCACAAGAAGGCTGTCTTTGAACACAGAGCAGTAGCCAAAATCAGAATATTCTCCCAAAAAGAATAAATGTGCATTTGAAGAATAGAAAAAAACCTTGAGTGTATGAAGAACAGCAAACATTTGTTCCTGCTGAAGCCAAATATACTATAAACTCTTTATTGATAATGCTAGAGTTAAATAATCTTTTGTTCTAAAGTATTTTTATATAATATATTTTGCACCAAAATGTTAGGTTTTGTTCAAGTAAGAGGCAAAACAAAGTAAAAAGAACCTTTATTGTGCAAGGGAAGGCTGCTGAGAGAAATGCAAGGACCTGCCCAGTGAGGGAGCTGAGAAACAATGGCTATATAGGGTCAGGCTAGGGGTGGGTTTTCAGAGGGAGGTCTGGGTGAGGTGGCAGATGGTGATTGGGCTGAGGCAAAAAAGGAAGCAGGAAATTGTAAAAATGAAACCGGAAGTTGTCACCAGGCCCAGGAAGGAGGAAGGTGGGGCTTGACCCATGGCCGGGTCTGGACCACACCATTGGCTCATCGCAGTTGTGATTTGGTAGAATTTTTGTCTGGGAGAGGAACCCCATCACATGTGTGTACAGGTATGAGGACACATAAAAGTCAGAGTTAAAAGAGGGATGTGGCGAAGCCAAAAGAAATAAACTTAGCTATGTGTTTACTACTGTTTTCTGTTACATGATTCTTCAATCACTTATTTGAGATAGAAGGAAAAGAACTGAAAAATTCTTCTATAAGTAAATGTGAGTAGCCACAACTATTTTTATGCTAACATTTAGGACCTGATGTTTGATTTAATGAAAAAGAAAATGAAAATATTATTTTGAAAAAAGTATCCTAAATATGTTTTCATTTTTTAAGAATTCTCACTCCAGAGGCAAGATATCCCTATTCCTAGATGCCAAAGATGTCCTCTCAAGAGGATTTTAAATCTGCAGTAGACTATTATTAAGGAAAGTGTGTGATATTTTATTTCATTGTCCCATGGAAATAAAACTTGCAATGCTAAAATTGAAGTTAACTTTTAAAAAATGGAAACCAGATGCAACCTTGCAAAGTGCCATCTGTAAAACTTTTATGATATAAAAGGATGCACTAAGAGTTCCAACCGTTATCGTGGAGACATTCTACAGGATTCCAGATGGCCTTGGGTCCTAGGGGCTACGTCTGGGAGGAGATGATTCCCACTTGAATTGAGGAGGTCTCTGACAAGACAGTGGGTCGGGACAGGAGTCTGCACACCCCAGGGAGAGGCCCCAAAACACTGCAGACTTCTGTGCTAGGTCTGCTCTGCATTAAGAACATGGAGCTACTTCACCAGAAAGAAGAGAAGCAATGAGGAGCATTCCCTCTGTGACTTATGCAGTCCATGTGCACAGGCGCACGGAAGAGCACAGCCTGGCTGTCCGCAGTCAGCAGCGATGTGCCCGGGACCCCTGCTGTGCCCCTCTGCATCATAAGCAGAACCAATGCATAGAGAAACACAACGATTTGAAGGGCTTTGTTTGTTTGTATTTTGCTTTTTTTCTCCTCTCTCTTTTCCTTTTTTGAGACTGTTTTTCCCTCCAATTTCTAATGTCAGCTGTGTTGTTTGAAAGCAAGAAGATGGAAAAGAAGACAAAAATGAGAAGAAAGAGCTCACAAGTATTTTCCTTTGATTTTCCATTCCTGCAGGAAGTACTGCCATGCTCTCCACATCTTTCCTGAAAGGCATCATGGGAAGCCAAAGAAGTCAAGGCTTTTTCAGGATCCCATATTAAATCAACAGAACCTGGAATAATCACAGCAAACAGTAAGAGCTACACAGGAGCTTTTGCCTTTCTTCACACAAGCACTAAGTTGGGTGCCAATGCCTCAGTCCATTTTGTGTTGCTATAACAGAATATCAGTGGTTACTAACTCATAAAGGAAAAAAATATTTTTAATACTTCTAGAGGCTAAGAATTTAAAGATCAAGGGAACCACGCCTAAATTTTCACGCTACATGATACCTTGACACACATCAGAAGGATAAGAGTGGGCACAGGGGGACTGGGGATTTAGCTCAGCTGCAAAGCGCCTGCCTGGCAAGCGCAAGGTCGTGAGTTCCGTTCCCGGTACGGGAGAAAAACCAAAAAAAAGAAAGAAAAAAACAAAACAACAAAGAGTGGGCTCAGGATGGAGATCAGAACCACAGTGTAGACCCTTTTATCATTGGCTTTCATCCATCTGTGAGCAGCTGCTCACACATTTCTCACTAGGCCCCATCTCCCAAAACTGTTACATTAGAGGTTAAGTTTCAAGCACATGATTTATGGGGGGACATATTCCAGCCTTAGCACTTGGCGTCTGATACAGAAACTGAGAAACTTAACATTTCTAAAGAGTTTCTTTGAAACTTCTTCATGACCTAAGATACTTAACTGCATAATTTCCAAAACATTTCTTGTTCTAAAAATAGAGTGGATAAAATTCTTTATGAAAGTGGCCTCTGAGAACGTGCTTTGTTTCATAATGTAGATCTAGACCTCATTCATTAACGATGACACTTTTAAAAAGATGTAAGAGAAAGGTCAACAGCACTACTCATCAAATCTAGATGATGGCGAGATGTTAGTTCTGCTATTCCTGGCTTCAGAAGAAGTATTATAGACAAATATCCTGTTTTCAATTGCATGCTTTATTTTTTTCCTTGGGAGAGAAATATCAACAATTCCTGAAAATAGTCCAAAAGTTTCACAGGTGAATGTCTTTACAAATAATTAGATAATTTTTAATATACGTATCTCTTGGGTGTTTTATCTCATTCCTGGCAGTTTAATTATACCACAAAACTTTTGCAGAAATTGTCTATTAATACCTCAACCCCCAACCACCATATGCCACAATATTAGTTTCTCAACCCATCTCCCTGGAGAAAATGATTGTAATAAAAATTGTGGCCCTTGGATTTCAGCAAAACAACCTCGTGTTGGAAGAGCAGCACATATATTTTTAGGAAAATGAACACACAATACCTCCAGGGATGCCCTTCACTTTTCCAGAGGCAACTAGGATGATGTTTTATTCCTCCTTCTCTATCCCTTCATATTTACTTCTCTGTAAATGATACAAGTACCATTTGTGTCTAGTCCAAGGGCAGATCTTTTGCAAGATGTGGTAAATACATAATTGGTTTCTGAGACTGGAACACAATCGTTTTTACTATTTAAATGTAGTATAATTTGTCTTGTGATATTTGTTTAGAAGATGGGTGGTGTGCTCTCAGAGATTTTACTGCAGGATAAATCTAGTGCAAAGAATTTGGTTCAAGATCACATGTCAGACAAACTGTATCAGAGGAAAGGTCAAGGAAAACGGTTTATTCTCCAGGAAGTTTTAACCTAACACTTTTTACTTGTTATGGGTTTTGTTTAGATCACTAGCTCACAGTGGAAAGCATTTTATGATTTGTGTTTAGTGGTTTAGACATACTTTGCATACTTAGCACTGCCTTTTTACATTTGTATAGGTCAGATAATTTTGACTGATATCTTTTTTAATTTGCTATAAATGTTTTGGACTAGAGTACAATATCCTGATAAACAAAGTCTTCTGATAACTCTTTTGTCCAGAAATATAAAGTGAACTTAGAGAAACTTAAAGCCAAGTTCCTTTGGATACAGCTTAGGAAGGAAAGATATAACTAATATTGTATTTTATATGCTTTGAATACATCTGCCTCTTTAATATAACTTTAGACAAAAAGTCTCTTATCCCTGCTATCCCCAGCAGGTATAAGCAATTGGCTGGGAAATACTGTCACTAAAGAGGAAAGTGACTGATCTTACCAGTGATCTGTTGACATAAACGCCTCTCAGAAGACAGAGACATGTTATTCATTTTCCACACATCAGTTGTTCCTGTAGAACAAGGTTGCAGGTTACCATTTTACTATCTAAGAAAACATTTAAAAACCTACTGAGATTTGTAACATACACTTCGGGGAAAGCCTGGAATGGTTACTTGTAAACATTAAAGCAGAACAGAGAGAAATGAGTGGATTTATTGATGCCTTAATGAATACCTTTGTTACTATTCAGATGACATTTTAAAACTAACTGATAAGTAAATTGTCACCAGAGAAGCATATTGTGAGATAAAAGTAATTTCAAAGCATGCTGGGTATTACAGGCCTCTTCTCTGCCCTTCCCTGCGTAAGGTGGAGCAAAAGCGCCCTGTTCTAAGGCAGACTTGGAGCACACTGAACTCGCTGCCTGTCATTGGCCACTGAGGGCCAGCTGTGCCTCCTAGGTGACCAGAAGAGTCCCTCTCTTTTCACCCTACTGCTAGCATTCCACCCACTGAAGAGACAGGGGTGAACGTGTAGAGCTAACACCTGGGATTTCCTTACTAATATTTGATCTCCTTCCTCCACTCCTGTGGCACAGACCAGAGCCTGCAAAGCATCCCTTGCATTTGCTGAAACACATACCATGTACTAGGTGTGAAATCAGGATTTTACTAAATGAGGCCAAACTCTCATTTTCTCAACAAATGCCTCTCAATTTGGATTTAGTTTGACCAGGTTGTAAGACATTGTGTACCAAGCCCACTGACCAATCGGACACATTAGGGTGGTGTACTTAGAACTCATTTCTGTTTTCTGAACTTCAAAGTCAGAGAATGAAAGAAGTTCTAAGATTTCTTGTGCTACTAAATTTTACAAAATATAACAAGAAGCAGTTTGCATATAAATAACATGCAGTTAATATATACTCATCCATTCATTTAATTACTTTTTTGTGAGAAGCAAAGTTTATGATTCCCTCTACTTGCTTGTAGCATGAACTGAAAGCAAAGGAAATAGATTTTAAGGGAATTGGGTATTTCTGTGTTCATCTGGGAACTCTGTCCAGCTCCTGAAATGCAGATCAGGGAAGGTTGAGAGACTGTGCTAAGGCCCGAGGAGCGTTGGAGGTTTCTGTCTTTCAGAATCAATTCTCTCCTCCTGAGTCCGTCAGCCTAGGCTGCCCTTGGAGAGCACCACTAAAGCCCCTCTGCTCAGCCACCCCTGAAGGCAAAATGGAGACAAGGAACACAGTGATTAAGAATATGGGCTCTGAGGTGCATCCGTTCCAAGTGGAAACCTGGCTTCCTTTTCAAACTTCCTAACCCTCTGCTCCCAGCCTCAACACTTGTGAAACAGCACTAATAACAATAACTCCCACCTCATAATGTTTTTGTATAGATCAAACAAGGATGTATTTTGCACTTAGGACAGAACCTGATAGATGAGGGTTAGGCTTTGTTGTCGAGTAATCATGATTTCCACGGAATAAATAGACCAATTATGGACTCTAAGTTAAGACCTCCTGGAGCCATCCTTCTGATTTTGTACTAACTGCTCTGAGTAGCAGGGCCACATTATGCTCCAAAGCAATTACAATCACACTGAATCACTTGTTGATTCTTACAAATCAATTTTTCAAACACCTAGCGTATTATTTCTCAGTTGTACAGCCCATAGCTCCTGTGCAATATATGATTATTCTTCTGAAGTATGTTTAATGAAAAATGTGCATCTGTAGTTGTTATTTCAATGTTGGTGCTATGTGTTATCAAAGAAAAAAATGTTATTTTTTGTGAAATAACTAACCTAAGAAAATTATACTTGTAAGATAGACAAATAAATAGAGGAAAGAAATATGGAAAAAGTGACATTTAAATAAAATTGAAATTCCCAGAAAAAAATCTTAAGAATATAAAACATCTAAAAGAGTAGTTATGCTAAATGTTCAGTTGTGATATTATAGCAATATTTATTTGAGCAATTCTCAACATCAGAGTTGACCAGTTGTGAACCATGTTCTCCACTTTTATAAAGGAGCCCAGTAGTGTCTTTGAATTTCCTAAAAGTGATTTGCAGTCTCATAACAATGGCTGTATGATAGAGAGATCACTTACTCCAGTTCCAGAGGCAGCAAAGTATTTTTCACAGCCATGATTAGCTGGGATAAAAACTATAGAAAGAGAGCATGTTCACTCCCATTTCCATTATTTCTATAGATCAGAGACACCCAACATATTACCTGCTTCTATCACTGAGTTCCAGAGTGAGAAATATATTTTTATTATTTTTATGATATAGAACTGTAACAGAATAAATTATAAATAGCAATATAGAAGCTATACTGAGTTCCCAATAACACTTTTCATAAAAGGGAAATCACTCAACCTTTGCTATAGGCTAGCTAACAACTTCTAAGGTTACATAGGGCTACCTTAGTTTTGACAATGAAAATCTAGAAATCAGTATTCATTATCTGGGTTATCCTTAATTTGGAGAAAAATCTGGCACTAAATTATATACTGTATATCTTACATAATAATCCTATATACTTAATAATTATTACTTAATAATTCTGATTCTTACTTAATAATCTTATATACTATAAGATTATTATTTATCCTATACCAATTTAGGTAACAATAACTATTGCTTTTTCAAGGCAGTGTGCAAATGAGGCAGCTCTGCTCTGCAGTTAGAAGACACCACAAGAGAAAAAGGCTTTCTTACCCATACAGGGAGCCACTACTGATTTTCTGTGTTCCTGAGCAATCGGCTGAAGGCATCTTTGTCTCCAGTTCTGCATTCATAAAATCAGAAGTAAAATATGTTTCTGAAATTACTTAAAGACCTTCGGTAGAAAGGTGAAGAATTCTACTGACATCTTTATGGAACCATATATCAAGGGAACAAAGACTGTAGAGAAAAGAGGCATTGCTTGAGAATAAACGGCTTCAAACGTAACAGCAAATTAAATGTAAATTAAGGCTAAATGTAATATCTTTATGTCAGAACACCGTAAAAGCCATGTCCTTGGATGTATGAATCTGGGCTACAAATTTTTTAAGAGTACATAATAAAAACCTAGACTTACTTCTGCATTATTTGAATTTACAAATTATCAGTTTATAATGCTGCAATTTAAACACAAGAGTTAAGTTATAAGACACGGAACTGAGGGACTAATGTGGCTTAGTTATGTTCAGAGTGTCTACGGTCATGTTGTAGAAGCTATTTTGTTTTTATTTTAAAGATGATGAAAGAAATTCACAGTGTTGGCCCTTAAGTTTTTTAAATATACGTATCTTCTATAAAGTGAACAGCTGTCACAGAAGGTAGGAGTTAATGTACGGGTTAGATGATTTACTTTTCAAGTTTTTGTTGTATACTCTTTTCTTTTCAATAAATAATGTGATTTAAAGTGACTTCCAGAAAAAAGTCTTTAGCAATTTCTCAACTCTTGGCCATATTATGCGCTCAAACTTAGTGAACTTGAGCTTTTAAAATTTATGTAGTTTTTAGATAATGATGATTTTAAGACATATTTCCAGAATTCCTAACACTTGTGTGAAGAGTTGGAGTCTGTAACCTCTTTTTGTGAAACTGAGTGCTGGTTAGATAGATTGATAGATGGATAGATGGATAGATAGATGAAAAAGAATGTGGGGAAAGGAGAGTGCAGATTCTGAAATCAGATGCGGAAAAGTTCTCATCTTCTCCTTCTCTTTTGGAAGGAAGTTCATGTAAACCAAATAAGACTCCTCAGGAAAGGGACTCATGCCCTCTACCCTGAGTTACAGCTGAGGACCTGGCCAGCACCCAGCTGACACATCATAAGGCTAATGAGCCTGTTCCACAAGGCCCAGCTAGATTTACAATATAAGAAAAAGATAAATTATCATTCTTGTTTGAATCCATTGTGTTTTGAGGTGATTAATTTGGTACAAAGAATAATGTTGTACAAAGAATAATTTGGTACTTGGAAACAGGGTGTTGCCATAACGAATACATAAAATATGGGACATTGGCTTCAAGATGGTATCAGATAGAAATTACTAGGGCTTTGTATTAATCAGTTTTCCTGTTGCTGGGCCAAAACTACCCAACAAACACATAACCTCAAGAGGAGAGGGTTAGTTTGCCTCATAGTTTCAGAAGGTTTAATGCATGATCAGCTGGCTCCAAGGCAGAAACACATCATAGCAGAAGAGCAGGGAGGAGCAAAGTTGTTTAGTTCATGGCAGCTAAGAATCAGAACAAGGAAAGGAGCACCAGAGCAGAAGAGGCTGGGGACTAGACATTGTACCCACAGTCACATCTCCATGACCTACCTAGAAACACCCACGAGTGTGCTTTACTAATACCCTGGGTGCTCTGAACCCCGTGAGGTTGACAATCCAGCTTAAGTGTCACAGACCGTGAAGTGAGTTTTGATAAAACCCTGGCAAGCATCAATGTAAGTAATAATGAAAATACAAAAGGCCTTCAGGACAGTGTTAGCAGAATTCTAAGTTTTTGAGGAAATTGTCTGTGACAGTTTATTTCATTTATTTATTTATTTATTTATTTATTTTTGTCTTTTTGAGATAAGGGCTCACTATGCAGTTCACGTTGGCCTTAAGCTTGCTTTGTAGCCCAGGCTGGCCTCAAACTCACAACGATCCTCTTGCCTCAGCTTCCCGAGTGCTGGGATTACAGGTGTGTGCCACCACGCCTGGCCTTCTGTGACAATTTAAAGAAAGTGAGAAGTATGTTACAGAAGCTTAAGGATGGGCAGGGGAGGGATCTGTTGGTGAGGAGCCTGCAATGTTTTCTGTTGCCTCTTAAGACAATGTGAAACTGGGACACACACTATTTTAGCTCAGGATGGTATAAACTATTGCAGCCTGGGTGGCTCGCAGAATAAGCATTTATTTTTCCATTTCTGGATGCTGGATGGGCAGGATCCAGGCACCATCATAGTCAGGTTTTGGTGAGGGAGCTCCATTTGACCTTTTCTCTGTTTGTACAGTGAAAAAGCAAAGATTCCCACTGTCTCTTTTTTCTTATAAGGACACAAGTCCTATTGCACTGGGCTCCACTTTATTATCATTTTTAAAACCTTAATCACCTTCTTAAAAGCTCCATTTTCAAATAGTTTAGGAGCTAGTATTTTAGTATATGAATTTTGGGTGGGAGGAAATTCAGTCCATAGAATATACATAATAAGCTCAAAACTCTCTGTAGAAAATCTCAGTAAAAATATTGAATGATCCATTGATATTCTGTTCATTTTCTATAATATTATACAAAGTTGAATAACTATGTTGAAGAGTAAAGTCTTAAATATAAAAGACCCAGGGTTTGCTGGATTTGTAAAGATGAGATCTTCTTATTCCCAGTCTCTCCATGTACCAAAATGATTCTCACTTAAGAAAGGGCCTTGCATCAAAGATCAATTCCAGGGTGAGACAAACAGATCATTTTTCAAGACCTGAGAGAGATCTAAGCAGGTCATGGACACCTTGAAATCGCTGAAGATCTTAAAATAATACCCATGGTGTGGCACACAGACCCACCCCGTTGAAGCACATGGTGTTTAAGAATCTGAAGAGTTGTACTCACAAGATCTGAAAAGCAGCTCAACAGTAAGATGGGATTGACAATAAGACATTTAAGGTCTGACTTTTATCTAAAGGTGCAAATCAAAAAAGGATTAGTAGAGAACTTAAAGGTTTTTAAATAAAATTTCTGGTGAAATCAGCACCACTTTAAACCCAAAAGAGGGATAAATGATTTAGCAGTGAAGCCTTTGGGCCCTCAAATATTTGGCCCTCAACATTTTATGGGCCGGATCAGGCAGAAGAGACCTCACAGTTACAACTGTTTAAGGAAAAGAAAAGATGATCCAGAGAATGAGAATAAAAGCCCAGATGGTAGGACTATGAGTGGTAGAAGAAATACACAGGCATGATAAGCAAATCCTAATCAAGGAACTGGCAACAGCTGGGTGAATTTCAGCTGTATTGCAGAACAATGAGGATGTGCTTCTCTCTCCAAAGAGGATGGTTTACAGAAAGTGCCTGCTGCCTGTCCCACTGTTGTTTGCTGAGAGCAATGGGGCAGATGACTTGTTGCATGGTTTGTAAATCTTTTGACCAAGAATAGTCATGCTTAGAACCTGGGCTTAAGGGGCCTGAGGAATCTCATCTACCACTAGAACTGATTTTAGTGCTCAATCTTGGAAAGACTCAGTCTAATGCAACAGTGGGACGAGACAATTAGAAGTCTTCAAAGTGGGTGAATATATAGTGAATGTATGAGAAATGTAAATAATTTGTGGCTAAGGGGAGACTAGTGATTGTGAAACACAACCTGAGTTATCTGATAGTACTTCCAGTTAGAAGTCAGTTCTACATTCCCTCTCCATGTAACAGGGCTCTAGGATTGCGTGACCAATAGAATTTGCTGAAAGTGTCATTGTTTCAGTGCTTAATAAATCAGCAGCTTTCATCTCCTCCCTCCAAGGAAGCTTGCTTTTGAAACCCAGGCACCAAACTAGGAGGAGGAGCAAATAGTCCATACAGAGGACAACAGGGAGCAGAACCATGGTTGCAACCATCAACACTTCAGAAGCCAGCTCCAGCCACCTACCATGTGAGGGCACCATCTTGGAAGTGGATCCTTCAACCCCATGGAGTTATCCCTTTGGACACCACTTGGAATAAACCAGCCTTCCACAGTGAACATCAGCTCAGTTACAGATTGGCGAGCATAAACTCAAAATTAGGACCCTACTTACATGTGATCTTTAAATTTTTGTATGTTTTTATTGTATTACTTTAAGCTTACACATTTAGGGGGTAGCCTATTATTCTATGACAGTTGACCAGAATACTTTGGATAAGAAAAGGATTATTTCCTCTTATTTTTCTCTTTTTTTGAATTCTTTTATGTTTCCATGTTCTTCAGATTATCGTATCTGTAATAAAATCCTCTCAGTTATGTTATTGTGTCTTAACATTTCTCCAGTAGCAATCGTAGTACTGTGAACTTACAACAAACAGGAGAAAATATGGCTTCTATTTTAGTATGAAACATGAGAACATTGTGCCATAGGTTCTTCACATAAACAGAATCAGTTTCAGTTTCTAATCTAATCATTAAACAGAACAGACAGATTGTGTTTGTTTAGTATCTACCATGTGATGCCTATTCTTTGAAATCTAGAGCAAGATAAGATACTGCAATAATAGTACCACTATTTAAGATACTGCAATAATAGTACCACTATTTAGCTAATTAGAATTGACCTGCATTCACCCTGGAATTATTAACGTGGATCTCAAGATCAATATTCTGATCCAATTACTTGATATTATTTGTGTGTTTAGTTTGTTTGCTGAAGAGTTTGTCTTTTCATTATCAAAAGCCATCTTTTCTGGGTAAATGTTTTTGGAATGCTATATAAGAATGGTCCTAGTACTATTCTCACCAAAACTGTTATTGAAGCTAATAAATCAAATTTGGTTCTCATGGTGCAGTCTATAAGGAATCAAATTTGTCAGCCTTTACAACTGTTCCATGGGAATAATACAAAGTCAATCTAGCACAGTTATGCTGAGTTCTGTGTACTAGGAGAACAATTCATTAATATTGACAATGATAAAAAGAATAACCACCACAATGAATAACAAAGTTAAAGTTTATAAAGTTCTTCCTATCAACCTGGAAATTCTCTAAGCACTTTTCATGCGTTAGATAAATTATCAGAACAATCTATGAGTTAAGTAGTATTATCCATATTTTGCAAAAAAATAAACTTCAGCCCAGAGTTTAAGTAATTGGACTAAATTTATAAAACCAATATTAGATGTTTAATCAAGGATTCAAAACAATATACTCTAAAAGCTAAGAATATAATATTTAAGAACATAAAATATTTGGGGTGCTATTAAATGCATTCACTTAGAATTATTAGCTTAAGCTAATACTAAAGGTAACCCTTGTGCTTAGAATTCCCCTTACATAAAAAATAAATATTTAAGTCCTTTCTTTGTGTCCATGTCCTTTTATAAACTCTTTAACATTTACAATATTTTA